GGGGAAAACATGATGGTCCTAAACAAGGGAAGTTGTCCCACTATCCCCAGGACAAATTTGGAGTAAAAAAAACTTTCATTTAATTCAAAATGGTTTGAAAGCTTTTTATGGTTGAAAAAGAAAGCCTTGTCATCAAGGATATGCAGTGTGTTTTCAACTTGCTTGATAACACCATGTTCCCCACACTAACGCAGGTCATCCAGATCTCCCTCACAATCCCAGTCTACAACTGTAGTTGTGAAAGGTCATTCAGTGTGTTGAGAAGGCTCCATCATCTTGCTATTTTATCAGTTGAAAAGGAAGAACTTGCTAAGCTGAGTCACAGTCTAGTGATTGACCGCTTTGCAAAAATGATAAATAGGAGGTACACTTTAATGCTCAAAAAATAAAAGAAAAACTTAGTTCAGGATTAGTTAAACTTTCACCTGAACTAAAACTCTGAAACCTAGGAATTAATGATTACTTCAGAATGTGTATAAGGAAACTTTTTATTTTTAAAGTTGGTAATGTTTTATTTTTTACAGCTGCAATGTTGAAAATGTTCATGTTTGTTAAAACAAATATGCTCTTACACTCATTAATATCTCAACTGGTATTTTTGGTAGGAATTTATCAGGGTGGGGCAGTGCTTGTCTGTATTTGTGTATGGCAGGAGGGGCATATGCGATAGGGGGCCAGTGCCCCAGTAAAGCTTTGTGCCTAGCAACGCCCCTGGAGGACCGACTTTGGACATGCTTGCATTACTGATTTGTAACACTTTGCACAATTTGTATATGAAAAATAGACCTTCAGCTGCAAACAAAACCTTTCAATATTTAATATTTAACTTTTTCTTCTAGGATTTTAACACAGTAATGTAACTGAAGCTTTGTATTTTACATGTTGGTGTTATTTGCCGTGTAAACATAAACCTATTTCCTCTTGTCACCTAACATTAAATAAATTATTGTGGAAGCTTTGAGAAAGCACATCCCACTTCCTGCAATTTAAACTGAAGACTTGAAATTTTTTTTCTTTTTTTAAATAAAAAAACAAATCAAACATCTTTAACTTTTAGCCGAGGACTTTAACTTTCTAGGGCTTGTTTTCCATTTCATGCAAAAAGTTCTGTCTGTGGTGGAGAGCTGTGAAACTAACTGAACTATACGTCATCCAGCATGGCAGACAGAGTTGTTATTCAGAGTTATAGTATTCGGGTAGTTACATTTAGATGCCTGTGGTGCTGCGTCTGTAACCTGATGAAAGTGGCATCCAGCTGAGAGTTAGCAGCAAGGTAAGAGTTACTCAGCTGCTGGAGACAGTTTGCCTGTAGGGAGCCATTATGATGCTAGCAGCAACGCTGAGCAGTGCTGTAATGTGTTTGGCAGAGTCAGAGCAGTGATGGGACCGAATGCTGACGCACTGAGAAGAAAGTATAGCTGCAGCTAAGCCAACATTTGATATTCTTTTTTGCATGCATGACAAATTCTTATTTTAGAGAAGAACAACTTAAGGGCGACGATTGAAGAAAGAATTTAAGGGAAAATTAAAAACAATGCTTATTTTGAGCAAAGAGAAAAAAAAATCAGGCTCAGTAGCTTGAAACAAGTTGGGAGACAAAGCCAGAGTGATAAATTATTTGAGGTATTTGTTATTAATGATTATATATCTGATTGCAGAAGTTTCAATTATTAGTAAAAATGTTTCTAACATAAATAGTTACATCTTAAAAGTGAATTGTGTCTCCGGTATTTCTATTGTCATAGCCCAGCTTCCTGTTTTCTGTCAGCTTTAAGCAGACATAAACGGTGTGATATTTTCAATCGTTGCAGACACATCTAAAAGTTGCAGGTTTTTGGCCCTGGAGAACTCAGGTTTGATAATGTACATTATAAATGGTCAGTTCAGTTTTTTTTTTTTTTTTTTCATTCCTAAACAAAGATAAATTTGCATTTCATTACATTCGCTGAATCACAGTCCCAGGGTCTTGTAGTGTTAAACTACCAGGTACTGACTTTCTTTCTGAAATCAAAGGCTTATTGTGACTTATTATTTCAGGATTTTTTTTTTTACATAAACTTTTTCAAGAATGTTTTCTATGATATGTGAAGTGTTTTGGTTTAAAAAAAAACCCCAGCAAATATTGTTTTTGTAATGTTTTTATCCTATTGCAACATCCTTCTCACCCGTCATACCCTTCTTTTTTTTTAAGAAGCTTTCTAGTTTAACTTTGTGACTCCAGTTAAAGATTACTAAATGTTGCTTGACATTCAGGTCAGTCTCATAAAGTATATAACATATAAGTCTATAATACACAGTTTACAGTGAATTTTAAGGGCTAATTTCTTTTCTTATTGATTACATCTTCTTAAATCAAAACTTTTTTTGTTTGATAATATATCACTACATTAGTGGTTGAATTTAACATTTTTTTTTTTTTTTTACACATCTTTAATAGGATTTACAAAATGAGAATAAAGCTGCTAAATTCCTCCCATAGAAATTAAAAAGTCAATAAAACTATTCTATTTGTAACAAAAGAAAGTTGTTTAGTGTAACACCACCAATAATTATGCAAGACACACAGAATTCTTTTGGAATGTCAGTTTTATTATGACTTAAAATAAAAACACAACCCTTGAAACCAGGTAATTTCTTTTATATATAATTTCTTCATAAGGCACTTTCAGAAAAAAAGAAGGACAAAATTAGAAAATAATCACATTTATTCTGGGATTAAATGAATGAAAAACTGATCAGTCTGCTTGCCTTTATGGATAATTGTAGCTTCAACTGATTTCTAATAATGCAGGAAACCAATGGTTATTTCAATGAGTAAATTACCTAACAAAACTGAAAATACAAATTTTATTCTTGCAGTGTAGAAATGTACTCTGACGATTTGATATTTGACAATATTCTAAAGATTTCTTTAAAAACCACAGAATGATCTTAAATAAATATGATGCTTGTCTATTCAAATACAAATAAAAGAAATAACTTATTCCAACAAATTGCATTTTTTAGCACTGTTATTGCAAAAAGAAAACCTTCCCCTCCCAGCTCATAATTTCACATTGTTTGGTCAGATATATAAATAACTGTTGGAACAGTTGAAAATACAGCACATACTTTTTCTCTTATAAAAAAATTAAACATGAAATTAAAAACTTAGTTCTTTGGTATACAAGCAAAAATTAGCAAAAATTGTCTTCATACAAAAGGCAATAAAATACTGAACAAAAATACTGCTACATAAAAGAAATGACACGTCAGAAAAATCCAGCTCTTCCAGTCTTTATATGGAACTGTGTAGAAAAATATTAACAGTTTTAATACCACAAATAGACCATAAACTCCTAGAATCCATCCTATTGCATCAGTTTTTGGACAGCATTCTGACACCTTGATGCAATGCAGAGAGGTATTTTTTCTTGGTCATTTCAAGCATCACACTGAAGAACAGGAGAGATGCAAAAGTGCATAATATTTAAACTAATTTCCGCTCCTGATCCACAGCAAAGAGTGGCCTGTTTCATCCCAAAATGATGTTCCTTTCCATCAAGTGCCCTTATTTACATTCCTATTATCAGGTAGTACTGTTCCCATGGTGACAATTTCTTCTTTATTTATTCTTGATTCCTTCCACCGAATTTGGCAACATAAGCAGCTGCGGCTTCATTCTTCTTAACACCATATGTGAAGAACATAAGGGATCAAAGCTACGATGAAAACAAAAATCACAGTCCTTGGATTGTAAAACATCCACCTCAACGGCTTGGTGGTCCTCTGTCGATTAGGCTGAAATAAATATATTATCTGTGAACTGATACAAACAATTTTCTTTGCAAAATGCAGTCCTCATTTATATTTAAAAAAAGTCTGGAAACAAAAGTCATTGTTTCAACAAAAATAAAGTCACAGCAGCAGTAATGCAAAATCTTCCGCTTCGGTCACATGTTCAATCTGATCAAGTTTATAAATTCTAATGTTGTAAACACTGAAAATAGCCTGCATTCATGTCATATGGGATCTGTTACCTACATCATTTGTCGGTTACCATGTAAAGCAATAATTTACATTCAACATGCTTACTCTAAAAAGAACATCAGTCATTGCTAAGTTTAGGCATACAGAGGGAAAAGAGAAGTTTGCAGAAAATGTGATGGATGATATGTCTTTCTCCACAGTACATTCAAATGTGGCAATAATAGCAAGTGCTCTGTTTCTGCTAATATCAAAAGCAGGGAATGCCATCTTATTCTGTTTGCAGTTTCACATACCTAAAGTTTCAGCTAAAGTTAAACTGTGACAAGTATGTTAAAAGCAGCTGTAATCATACAGCTGCTTCCATTATTCCTGCTGCACAGTGCCAAGGGCAGCATTGTGGCTTCACAGTTAGAATGTTCTGGGTGGAACTTTATGGGTTGGCTGGCACCTCTCAGAGTGGATTACACAGGAGACAATCCCTGTACCTTTAAAGCAGGTGCATTTCACAAAGAGGTCTTTGGATGCTTCCCTATACGACATGAATGCAGCTGAAAGCAGCTCTCCCTCTTATAGCCCTTTGTGCTTCGTAAACTGGTACTGTAACGTAAAACACTGAGAAGGCACACCAATATGTTACCCTGGATGCAACAAATACACTGAAACAGAGAACCGGTGCAGGGATCTATTTAAAAAAAAAACAAAAAAAAAAAACAATTGTATCAATATTGTAACAAATATATCTGTATAGTTTGGGAAACACATACTGTAACAGTAATATTTTCTCTGGGATTATGCTAAATGATGTATTGATGAGATTCTCATTGTCTATCAGTTAAAACCAATGAAAATTGCACATACAAAGAAAACAATGTAAATGTGTAAAGGATTACACACTTACAAAGGGAATGTCCTACAGGTGTTTTGTGTGATTCTGTTTTTATTTCAATTTCTCTGTGCAAAGCCACTGTACCACCCTGCACCACTGAAGAAATAGTCTGTTGAGACTTATTTAAAGTTTTCTGTGCAACAGTTTTCTCAGATTGCTAATGCCCAAATAAATGTTCCTGGATATTTCAACAATAAATGCCACTGCACATATGTAATTAACACCATACTAACAGTGAGGTTTAAAAGTACGATCATGAAGGTGTGCGGCTGACTTCATCCATGTGGCACTGAAGTATAACTAAATTAAAGATAAATTAAGGAATGTAAACTCTAAAAAAGGGATGTTTTATCAGTAAGCCAACTGCCTCACAACCAAGGAAACTCTCAATTCCATTCAAAAGAAGATAAAGCTGCAATAATAGTTCATTACGTGACTTTAATCCATTCAGGATACATTAGGTGGAACTCATGAGAAGAACTCATTGTATCACATATTATGTGTGGACTTATTTGTTTTCATTTCTTTGTATGTGCTGATTAATTAGGTTTTAACTAATGTCTGGGGTGAACACTACATAAAAAACCCCATAGAACTAAAATGACTGAGAAAAAAGATTTCTTCTTTTAAAGTTATTACCCTGTAACATGTTCATGTGGTAAGAACACATCAACAAACAGACCATTTGCTTTATTTGGTGAGGCTACTTGCTCAGAGGTCATACAGAACATGTATGACCTCTGCCAAAATGGCAGCCATGTTGCTCCCTTTCAATGCAGAAACACAGATTATTCTCAGCTTGTGGTTTACAGACATTTCTTAGTGACGATGACTCTCTGGGAGAAAATATATTCTTCATGTCAAGTTAAACCCCAATAGAAAGGCTAAAAATCCACAGTTTCCCTGGCAAAGCTACATACGTTAGACAGATGCCCAGTGGATATGACAGCAGTAAGAGGTAGCTAATATTAAAAGCCTACCACTCTTTTAAGTCCACTTTGATAAAAAAAAATGACAAATATGCCACTGTAAGTTTTCAAAGGTGTTTGGTTAGCCTATACACTTAACTCTCCATGATCATGAGTTGAACTGTTACAGTTAGACCCTTCCTTTGCTTGTTGTAGTTGAACTCAACCAATTTGCAACCAGAGTTGTTATGAGTGGAAACACTTTTGTAAACAGGAATTTAAAAACTGAAACTGGTTCAGTGGTTAGTGGTGCTTCTTAAATTAAGGTCATACATCAAGCACCATATCATAATGAGTTTCTTTCTTCCTTTTTCCACATTTGTTTATAAGAACGGCATATAGTGTCAACAGTATCACCCAGTAACTGGCATAGACCACTGCCCCAACGATGAGCACAATCTCCTCTGAGTGAGGAAAAGGTTTTTTAGTCTGTTGGATAATAGTGTAAATAAACCCAATAAATAGGATGGTAAACCAGATGGTTATTGGAATCAGACCAATAAAGTTTACCACTATTGTTTTCCTCCCAGAGGTCCCCCAGCCTGATTTGTTAATAGTTGCTATTGCAAACATTTTAGCTGGCAACAGGCTTGACATATACAGTACTGAATAGAAGGACATGAACACCATGACAATGTTGCCTCTGAGGCAGCTGGCAAATGATGACTTGATCAATGCCACTGCTTGCACAATGAGTAAAAACAACAAAATATTCCAGAGTCGTCCTTGGAAGAAGAGCTGGATTGCAGTTGCGATGAGGAAAAATGGAAAGAATCCTGTGATTACAGCCTCATAAGTCATCCAAAGATGATGCTTGTGGAACCACATTGAGTTGTAAAGCCATTCTCTAAAATAAGACTTACTCCATCGAGTCTGCTGATTGAGCCATCGCAGATATGTAATAGGCGTCTCCGTAAGGCACTTCGACCTTGCAGTGTATTTGGTTGCATACCCAAGGCTGAGAACTCGGTTTGTAAGATGACGGTCATCCCCAAAGCTGCAGTGTGATCCCATGAAGGTCTGATTGTACCAGTCTTCAAGAAACTCATGTAGGAGAGAATTTCGGTACATTCCTAGAGGGCCACTGATGCATTGAACACAACCAAAGTATGACTGGCAAGCCCGCTCGATGTTGAAGGCCATCCAGTATCGAACGCTGCTCAGGAAGGAGATCCATGACTCATATTTATTTAGGATCTACAGAAGAGTAACAGTAATTAGGTTTAAAATATAGTATTTAACTTGTATTTTTGGTGTAAAATGCTCAAAAAGAAAAATTTGCTTTGTTACTTTACCTGTACATCTCCCCCAACACCTCCAACCATCGGGTCCTCCTCTAAAACCTTCACCATCTCCACTGATGATGCTGGATCCAGCATGGTGTCCGAGTCACACACCTGACAAAAAAACCTGCATTGGGTTAACTGTGTTTTTTTCCATCAGATAAGCAACAATCTTCATAATCTTAAAAGAAATAGTACTGCCAATGACTACATCCTTTACATCAACCACTAAAGCTCTGCTTTCAACTATCAATGCCACTCCTGCTCCCTCTTTTATAGATGCTTGCTCCATTTTCTTCCATAAAAGGAAGTCTTTCCTGACAAAGAAAATCAGTTGATGGAAAAAAAAAGAAACTTGGCGCCAAATCCCCATTAACAAAGGAATCTGTTACAGACTGAACCTGATGATAGTGGGAGTGCTGGGCTTTCTCTTTAATTCCTGAACACTGGAGAGGGCTGGCAGGTCTTCTGGCAATGCAACACTGAATTTTATAATCTCTCCTAAACAAGTATTTTGAAGGCTACATGTGTTGGACCTTTACTTCCCAAAGCCCTTATTTTTATTAGCATTAATGAAATCACTTGATAAATTATCAGGAATTTTTATTTTGTCTGCAATTGTGATCAAATGTTCCAAAAATATTTAACAATCTAGATAAATGATAGGGGGAGTGTTGGCCTAGTGGGTTAGAGCAGTGCGCTTGCGCCCTGTCACAGCCTCTACTAAGGGTTCCTGAGCAAGACCCTTAACCCCACACTGCTCCCTGGGCGCCACACAATGGCAGCCCACGGCTCCCCAAGGGGATTGGTTAAATGCAGAGGTAAATTTCTCCAATGTGAAATCAATAAAAGTTAAATTATTATCATTATTATTTTATTATTATGTAAAAAGACTCAGTTGATTAATTTTATTTTGTTGTTGTTTTTTAAGAGTTTCTTGCCAATAAAGACCCAGTACAAGATTTAGAGAGTGTATTTTATTATTATTTCATCCAAACTAAACTTTTGCTGTTAAACTTGTTATTCAACACATCCCATTGCCAATCATTTGTCTCTTTCCGATTTGGTGTTTGATCTAAGAATTCTGCACATATAGTCGGTTATGTGATGTAAGCCTGAACCCTGTGAAAATGATCCGCTGTTATACTTAAGCATCAGCTACTGCTGCCCTTTGTCATGCCTCACTTCCCAACATGATGCATCTAGTCACCGTCTGGCTAAAAGTAACACAAAAGGCTCTTTGTGGAGCTCATGTCTGGCTTTGCGCAGCCCCCTTTTTTCCTGTCCCCTGCCACATGTCCTTCTGTATGCTTCCGTTGACTGCATGTCCCTTGGTCTAATTTACACTGTTTCCCTCTTTTACTGCCACCCGATGTTTGGTACAGTGAAGCTAATCTGTTGAATTGATACCTTCTATCCTTGTTTCAATGGCTAAGCCTTACCTGTACATAGTCAACGCTCCTTCCCAGTGCTTTGAAAGCTGTGTACATGACCTCTCTCTTGCCTCCCCACTTCTGCATGATGCACACACACTTATTGTTGAGCACAAGTTTGGAGACTTGTTGGAGGCTCTCAGCATAGCTCTCCTCTGTCTCTTCTGGACCTTTGATGTGATAATTACTCCTCCACACATATGTCGCTGACTTGTCCCATCCCATTACTTCCTTAAAGATTTCCATCATGTACATGTCATCATCTGAGTTCCCATCGATCACCATGATCACCTTGATCCCTGGATATGTCAGCCTCTTTACTGACACCAGGCACTTCCTCAGGTAATTTGGATCCTCCTGATAGGCTGCTATACACAATGCCAAGGACTTGTTCAGTTTGATCGGAGTCTCCAAGGAGCGCCGCATATTTCTGTGCTCCAGGAGTGCAAAGAGACTCTGGATGATGAGATGAACAACCAGGATAGCACCATACAGGCCAAATGATAGATGATTTTGGGCTGTGGTGAAGAACTGATAGCCCATGATGTAGGCTGTGGAGATTCCCACCAGGAGAGACACCCCAAACATAGTGGTTCCGAATATCCTCAGGTAGGTTAGGACTCTCTGGCACTTCATCTATGAGCAAACAGAAGATAGGATGTTTATTATGGGTTATAGGAAAGGTGATAGATAACAAGATGACAGCATATCAATCACTCTTCAATGAGATCTAAATATCTAAAGGAGAATGTGTGTCCTGATTTTGTGCATTAGGCATGTTATTAAAAACACAATCACACAGGCACATTTTACTATGTGACCAAAAAGGTTGTTCTAAAATTCAGATCAGACGAACTAGCAGTACAGTGTATTTTGTGTCGAATGTATCTCCGTTATTACCTAGTGTAGTGGGTTTATTGTGCTTTGCTCAGTATTAACCTATGTAATACAAACGTGATCCCTTTCCCCTTTCAGCACAAACACAGGTAATGAATGAAGTTGTCTTTCTTTCCTTCTCTCCTGCCTGCTTGCTCCCTCGCCCCAGAATGCTTGTCTAAATGTTGCACAGTTGAGAGTATCCAATTGTTGGGTGTCTCTTTTAATGTGGGTGGGCACACATTACATGTTTTCTTGACCTAATTAACCAGCAAGCCAGTTACTGTGGCCAACTATCCCACAGAGAGCAGTAGAATGCAGTATTGATTGATATGAGCAACATTCAAGAGAAAATTGATGATTTCAAGAAATACAGTGATTACAGTAAAGTCTCAAAAGCCTTTTGTGGGATAACTGTTTGTTTTATGAATGTTGTCATAAGACCTTTGTCCTTTTTTTGTTTCTGATCCTTCTACATGACAAAAAAGGAAAAAAAGACTTCAGCTGAAACTAAGGAGGTCCGCTTCAAGCCCTCATTTACGTTGCTACCAACATCTGTTTGGCAGAACAAGGAGACCCACTCTGCGTGGCTTGACTCGGCTCAAGGCAGAGCGGACCACCCTCTGATGTCATCTGTTTTTATCTCCGTGGGAAGAAGGAGACAAGATCTCTTAAGTCATTTAATGCTGCATGAGTGCTTCTTCCCTTCTGTGATTTCTTATAAACATTATTATAGGAAAATTAGATCCTTCACTAACCTTCAGGTCCGTCGCTACCGAGTCCGTGACTTGGTAGGGTGCCTCTTTTTGCAACATAATTCAACAATCGGTGCATGATTTAGGTGCAATAAATGAGGGAACTTTTCCATGTGTGCATATAGTGAATCTAATACAAAAAACATGCCATGGAATCATCCAGGCAGGTTATGCATAAGGTTATTTACACTGCCTCAACTGTATTGATATCCCTTAAAATGTTCACATCTTTTGCATGACAGAAGTGTCTGTCATATACATATTTGTTTTTTAACACTAAATTCAATTAATCTGAAAAATTTGGCATGCTTTTGCCTGTAGCCCCCAATTCTCTAAACAGATTTGTGCACCAAGGGACTATTCTTTAAAAAAACAATTCAAACTCAGACCCTGTATACACAACATTCCACTGAAAATGCAATTTTGGGGAGTTTTCTTTTACCAAATCCTCATGGCAACATTTTAAAAACAGTCTTTGTATAAATGGTACAAGCATGAAAATTGTGAGAATTCCTCGCTGCACCAACAGTTGGCAGTAAGGTCTTTGAAACTTAACAACACTTTCAAACACTTCTTGCTTATAAAGCAGGGGAGAAGTGAAAACTTTGTTGGAGACTCATTAGGTGGGTTTCCATCAGCTTTTTCTAATGTATGATTTGAAGTATTGAATCAGTTCTGCTTGCCCTTTCTATGTAACAAAGGAGTCTTAGATGTTTTGAAATCTTTAAAGTCTCCATTCTGTTTTCAAATTTTCATTTCAAGGGGAAATATATGCCAATGCCATGTAAATAAACAGGGGAAATTAAATTTTTTTTTTCAAAAATGTTCAATAAAATAATCAATGAAAAAGAAAAAGAAACATTGGTGTGTAAATGGCCTCAGCGAGAATGTAAGAATATTGTTTAAGCCTTGCCAGAGATGCCTAATTAAATTTAAGTCTGGACTTTGACTGGGCCATTCTAACATATGAGCATTCACTGATTTAAACCAGGAGCCTCGAACTACAATGATTTAATCTGTGCAATGTCTGAAACATGCAGGGGTCCAGCCCTTGAGGACTCAGGACATCAGACCCCATTGATCTAAACCATCTTGTTGTAGCTCAGACTGGTTGTTTAGAGTAACTGTTCTGCTGGAAGGTCAACATCAACCCCAGCAGATCATTATTCATGGCTGTCCAGAGATCTTAAAAACAAAAAAAAAAATCAGGTTTATAAAGTGTAGCAACAAAGATCACATTCTCAAGTCTTTTCAATTTGGTTGCTCTGACTACAGCTTGCAAGTCTGACACTCCTGTCCCTAGAGATTAATTGAAGACAACTTTTATTTGACAAACGAAACATCTCCAATGATCACTCTTCTTCATGGTTGGCCATTAAGCACCAGCAATTGACTTATTTAAATCCTCTTGAGGGACCGGGCTTTTTTTTGTTTCAGTAGCTAACTTTGTATCAAAGACCACCAAACTAACAAGTGGGGTTCCCCAAGGATCTATCTTAGTGTCCCTCCTATTCAATTTCTACATTTTCCCTCTAACTGAGATCTTATTAAACAACCATATATGTCATCATAACTATGCAGATAACGCACACATATATGTCATAATGTCACCAGGCGCCAGGAGAACCCATTCAAGCACTGGGTAAATGCATAGAAGAAATCAATGGGTCAATATGCCAACATTTTCTTCGGCTCCATACTGAAGTTGCAATTTTAAGACCAAAGGAAGAGCATTTAAAGTTTAGCACACAGCTTTAGTTATTAAAGCTAAGAACTGCCAATCAGGCTCTAAATCCGGGTTTAGTTATGAACTGGGACCTCAACCTTTGTTAAAGACAGTAACAAAGTTGTCTTCAATCGCCTAAAGAAGGATTAAAGGACTGTCTCAGCATATTGAAAAACTAATTCCTGCATTCATCTTTCGTAGTACATGCCCCCAGTTTGAAGTTTTTACACTTCAGTTCTTAGAGAGTAGACTTTAATATACTTCTGTTGGTCTATAAATCACTGGGTGACTTAGCACCAAAATACATTAAAGACTTGTCAGTGCATCAACTGCCCAAACATCTCAGGTCTTCTGGCTAAAATCCACCCTTCATAACTAGACCCAGAACCAAATTTGGAGAAGCAGCATTTAGTTGTTATACTCCATTAATCTAGAACAAACACCCACAAGACTGTAAAATGGCTAACACCATAAGATGCTTGACAAAAAGTTTTTTTTTTTTTTGCTAAGTTGCATTTGACTATTATTTCTAAATTGTTAAATGAAACATAACAGATTTAATTTTGTAGTCCGACTTTTCTTTACCTGCCTTTATTATGTCACTGATATGAACTTTTCTCTGGATGTTTTCTTTTCTTATGTTCTGTTGATTCTTGGCATTTAAATAGAGTCTGTACTGAAATGTGCAACACATTGCCTTGCATTGCTTTGCCTATTGTTGACTTTGTAAGGCTTAAAACAATATGACATAGAGTCTTTTTAAATTACTGTACACAAACTCAAGAGCTGTTTTTCATTTGGGAAGACCTTAACCCTTAAGACAGATGAAGGGAGGGCAGAGAAAACAAAATGGAAAGGCAGAAAGAAAGTAGGAAATATAAGAACATAAACAGTCAAGAAAAATAGCCAAGTGCATTTAACGGAAACACAGAGGGATAGCCTCAGTTGAAAGCAACACATAACACACCCACTCACTATATAAGTAGACCACAACCAGCATAGCAGGGCTCCTTTGGCACGTGGCAAGTCTAGTAACGTCAGCCACTCATTTACAAGACCCCAGACACTCACCCATGCAAACACACAAAAGGGTCATTTTAGAGAGACCATTACACCAGCACAGAATGTCAGCCTGTCTGTGTGAAAATACGCTTTTGACTGAGTTATGCTGACCTTCACTGGCTTCTACATATGGATGGTTTACAGCAACTTTTGGACAAGTAGAATGAACTCTGTGACCCTGTCTCCATGAATCATTGCTGAATCAAGGAAAACCTTTGCCAGATTAATCAAAAAAACATGAAAGCATGCATTATCCTCTTATTGCTTTTCTTCATTTGCACTTTGTTGAAATAAAATGCATGTTATGAATGTATTTTTAATTAAAACGCAAGGAGAGACTGTTTATTTAATTTATGTCTCACAGGGCTTAAGGGTTGACTATCATCATTAAAAACTAACAGAACACCATAAAGCCTTGATCCTCATCCCATCACATCTGCTGTTCTGGGTGTGTGTTATCTTGCAAAGGTCATACTAACAATTAGCTCAGAGAGCAGAAAGATTAGCTACGGGCAGCAGGGAGTCCCTGAGAGATAAAACTTCTGAGGGAGCACTGTCTGTGACCGTGGAGGTGTCATCGACACAACGATGATGCCGTCTCTTTGGACATATGTTTGCGTGTCAGGAGACGACATTTATCAGTGCAAGTTCTTGGTGTTATTACCAAGGGATGATATCAACTTTTTGTTTATTTTTATGTCTCCACACTTATGAGAAACACTCTAAGTCCCAGATAGTTCTGTTTCTGCATTCGAAAAGCTCTTTGCGTGATCAATTCACAATATCTTTTCTAATACTGTGGATTGCATGTTCTGGCAGTTATTTCATGCCTATAGTATTGGTAAATCTGTCCACTATTCCACTAAAATAACATTACATAGTGTCTTAATTTCTAATCAATTGTTTAAGTTTTTTTCTTCTTTATTAATACACTTCTGTTTTTCTTGGTGTTAATGAGCATTTTAGGTTAGTCCTGTTTTAGTTACTACCTGTAGATGACATCAGTTGATTTTGTCGCCATTTTTTAGCTGTCTTTCAATATGGTAAAAACAACAAAAGCGTTCAGTTCCTCTGATGCTGATGCCCAAAATAATTTGGATCATCATGAAATAAAGTAAATAAATAGGTAATTGGCAGGCCATTGTAATTGAAATAAAATTTATTTTAAGGTATGGTCTTAAACAACTTGGACTTTTTGTTAATCTGAAAGAAAAATT